GAAACTAATGTTATTCTTTGGACTAACCCCAAAACATCCTCAACCCAATATTGTCGCCCTGTTCGAATGCAATACAGAATATGATTTTTTTATGTCAACTGAACTCAGAACAACAACCATAGACTTATTTCAAGTCAAGCACAAGTTAGAATGTACTATGATTGACCGAAAAGTTTCCACTCTTCTTTCTCCATTAACTGATTCTTATCAAGTTTGCAATATATGTGGATTAAATCCTAAAAAAATGAATGACTTTGTAATTGCTTATAATAAACAACCTAATCAGATGTCTTTGGACTTGGGAATCCACACTCTGGATTCGTTGTTTTGAATGTCTGTTACATATTGGACAGAGAAGAAGACCAGGGTACAATGATTATGGATTTTTTCATGCAAACACTCCTCAAAAGAAAAATATAGTTGCAAGTAGAAAAAAAGAAATTCAGGAAAAAATCAAAGATACACTTGGACTTGTTGTTAATGTACCAAGAAGTGGTGGCTCTGGTACATCTAATGATGGAAACACAGCAAGAAAGGCATTTAGAAGCCATGAAACCTTTGCTGAAATACTTGGAATTGATAAGGGTCTTGTTAAAAGATTTTTTATTATCCTTTGTGTGTTGTCCTGTAAACACCCAATTGATCCTGGTAAACTAGAATTGTATTGCAAAGAAACATTTAAGACATATGTAGCCCATTTTAAATGGTATCCTATGCCTGTTGGAGTTCACAAGATGATTGTACATTCACACCAGGTCGTAAGAGACAAGCCAGTTCCAATTGGCCTCTTATCTGAAGAAGCCCAGGAAAGTAGAAATAAAGATGTTAAAAATTTTCAAGAACATTTTACAAGAAAAATTTTTAGAAAACTTACAAATGAAGATGTAATGAGAAGATTGCTCTGCTCATCAGACCCCTTTATCACTTCTATGAGGCAAAGTTCAGAATCAAAAAAGGAACTTGAACTTCCAGCAGAATGTTTAGACTTTCTTTTGTAACTTTCTAAATAATATTATATTCTTTATATAAAACTAATTGAATTATTAATAGTATGTGTCCTAAATATATTTACTTTATTTTAAGAAATCTATAAAGCTGCATTTTTAAAATAGCACCTTTTTTCTAGTAGTATGTACACATGTTTAAACATGTTTCATTGATGTTTTTTAAAAACTCAAACCCTTTATAATTATATATTTTTAAATTGCTCAGTTTATTAAAAAAAATTTTTATATAGAAATATTAAAGAATGATTATTTTTGTTTATAATCTTGGTGTAAAACCAATATTACGCGTTCTTTTTGAGTTGTTGTATGTTCTTGCTGTGCTACCATATGCACAGATTATTCATGTGTATGTATTTACAAAATATGTGTACTTGATGATTTCGTTTATTAATCGACCAGGAAGTCAAACTATTATAATACAACATTTTGTTAGTAATTTGGAAATAAATTTTAACATCTAGATATAAGTACAAATCCAAAAGGCATGTTGTATGTTATGTAGTGTGTTATTTTAGAGCATTTATTCTATACACTAATTTTCATAAATGTATCATAAATCTTGGAAATTATTTTAATTCTTTATATATTGCTGTTGAGCTTACTTTTTGTCCTTGGCACCTGTCCTTGGTGTGATACTCTGCATGTTTTTGTAATCCACCAAGATGTCAAGGCGAGTTTCCACTCATCCGCTTTTCAATGGGAACGGGATAGGAAAGGAAAAAATAATCACGTGAGCATGCGTAACAAAAGTTTTTATTTGTCCAAAAGTAAACTGCGCATGCTCACGTAATTATTTTTCCGTCCCCTTTCCCTTTTCCGTAGAAAAACGGATGAGTGGAAACTCACCTTTAAGGTGAGTTTCCACTCATCCGTTTTTCTATAGAAAGTTGAAAATTAATATGAAAAACGTGTCACATGTTTATTATTCGTTTTGCGATTTGTCCTTGGTTTTGTGTTATTGGCGTGTCCTTTAGAGGTATATAAAGCAACATTACAATAACAATTATTGTTGGCCAGAGTATAATGAACATTCACTAAAAATTTTAGCTTATTATCTTCAAAATTGATGAAGATATGATTTTTGCTTAAAAAGTGGCATTTCTGGACCACTGTGCAATGGAACATAACTATGGTAGGCAAACAAACTTTTTTTAGATTTTGCAAGCTTGATGAATTTGTAGACAAAAATTATACAACTTAGACGACTAGCTGCTACATTAGCTGAGGCAGTGTACAAAGTATTCTGACTAATTTTTTTGAGAAAAATATCCGAATTATTTCATTTATTTTTTGGGGAACAATAACAACCAATAAACAAAATAAAACTTTAAATAATCAAAATATAAACTATTTTTAACACTTAGATGTTTGAGATTTAAACAGTTTCATATAAATTCTTGCCATAATTACAACTTGAAAAAAAAAAAAAAGATTTGTATTGAAAGTTACCCCGCTGTTCAAAGTATCCGTAAAGGCTAGAATAAGTTAGCTAAGTAGTATCGTAAAGGCTAGAATAAGTTAACTTTGACTTAAAAAATCCCCTGCCTTAGGACTCTTTGTTGAGTAAGGGCTAGAGATGTTGTCTCGATAAAAATACTCATCTTTGGAAGACGTTAAAGGCATCCGGCTACTATCTTGTAGAAGGCTTCCTGGGCAAAAACTTAAGATGTGATTCTTGAGATTCTGTGGGTCCACCGGTTTAAAAAAGGCAAATCTGTTTCCACTTGTCTTGCATGGCTCAGATTTTGTTACCTCGCCTCAAGACAAAGCTGAATTGTTTACTAAGAACTTTTCATTAATCTCATATCTTGATTCCAATAATCACATCTTACCTGATATAGCCAACAAACAGGATAGTTTTGACATTCGTATCACTCCAGCTTCTGTATCTAAAGTGATTTTCTGCTTAGACTAATCTACAGCTTGGTTTTCTAGGATTAACTCTTACTTCTGATCTTTCTTTGAAACCATTTATAAAATCCATTGCAAAATTAGCATCAGCTAAGGTTATCTCTTTATCGTGTTTGCCACTTTTTTACACCGGATTCTATTTCCGATTCATCTCTATAAATTTCTAATTTCTTAATACTGTTGTCGCATCTGGAAAGAATCTTAGAATGATGCCCTTTCTCTTTTAGACAAAATGCAAAAATGCAGTGTAAACATAATTGGACTTGCTCTTGCAGCCAACCTAAAAACCTGCAGCCAACGTAAAAACTATAGTCACATAGTTGTAATGTTTTTTTTTTCTCTTTCTTATAAATACTATAACGTGCGCTGCTCTAATGAGCTAGCGTCTCTTGTGCCATTTACTAAAATTCATTCTCGTGTTACTCGTCATTCAATTAAGTCTGATCTTTTTACGGTGACTGTTTAAGTGCTCCAAAAATTCCTTTTTATCTATTTTTTTCATAGAACATCGGTTTTTGGAATTCGCTTCCTTTATCTTATTTTCCTAATTTATAATTTGCAATCTTTTAAGTTGTTTAGTAACTGTTATCTTTTTTTTATAAACATATTTTTTTCTCTTAATAATTTCTAACTCCAATAGTGGTTGCTTGCAACCTTTTTTAAAGATATTTAAAAAAAGTGTGCGGTTTGCATTGCATAGAAAAGTCAAATGTTGCTTCACCCTGTATTAACTGTGCTTTGTGTTTTTGTAAAAACAAACTTTTGCTTTCCCATCGGAAAAATATCATGATTGTACATTACAGAACGTTTAGAGATGATTGAAAACCTAATTTAGAACCGAAAATGAAGAAAAAGAAGAAATTAAATACAATACTCTTAAAGTATTGAACCTATACTATCTATAATATATACTTTTTGGATAAAGCATATTCTTCAATACGCGCAGCAAAACAAATCCAAAGAGTATACTATACAAAGACGTCCCGAAGGGGTTTACAAAGCCCCAAAGAGTATGTTATACAGGGGCGTAGAGGGGTGTTTAGCCCCCCAACTAAATTTACTAGTTGGCATATTGGACACTGGGGTCGGCAAAATTGGATCTATAGTTGGCGGTCGGCAAATAACAGCTAACAAGGACCTTTTTTTTAGGATCTTAGTCGGCAAAAACATTTTTTGGCTTCAGTCGACAAAAAATAGATACGTCACCCGCCTTTAAAATCTCTTCGAAATGGCCCTAATGCTAATAAACCAAATTAACAAAGCCTCTGGTTGTGGTTTGTCTAGTGATTGGTCTCTTAAAATACTTCCTGCTCAATGCTTATCGACTGCTTTTTTTTTTTTTTAAATATAATGCTTATAAATTAATGAAAAGAGTATACCACACAATAGTACAAAAAAATGCACCCATACACAGATTAATGGATTCAATTTTATAACAACATGCTGATTTGCTTAGTTCGTCCTACTTCAAATCTCTCAGAGTAGATGCTGAAGTAAATTAAATTTAGAGCACGATATTGATGTTACAGGATAAGTTTTACCATAGTCAAGCAGTGGCGGATTAAGACTTCTTGGGGCTCGGGGCTATTTTTGTTTTTGGAGGCCTTTTTATAGGCCAAAGCCTAAAAATGACTAAAAAAAAAAAAAGTCCTCTAAAATTTTTGGGGGCCCCTAAATTTACGGGGCCCGAGGCTATAGCTTCCCCTAGCCCCCCATGATCCGGTACTGAGTCATAGTATTTAAATAGTAGTTAAATACTATGACTATGGTTTTACCTTTTCGTAAACATACATGGTTTACGACCTAACAAAAGAAGAGTTCTTAAAACAATACCAGTAAAGGTTCTCTTCAAATTAAGATCAACGAAAAATAAAAAAATGTCAAGTCATTACACATTTATTACCTAAAATTACATACATATTCACTATCACAAATATCTGGTACATATTTATGTGATTCTTGTTTTATATCATTATAGTTTATTTCATATCAATAAAAGGGCCGTGATTGACAATAACGACAATATTATCGGGAAAAAAAAAAGAAAAATGAAATATATTTTGAAATTTAAAATCACCGGTTAATAGTAAAACAAACCGGTTATAGCAAAAAAATTTAAGTAACATTAAAAATCAACATCATTGACTTTTTTTCATACTATAAAGACTAGAATGGAGAGAAAAATCTTTAATCTTAATGATTATGATGTTATTGCATTTGATATGGATCATACTCTTGTACAATATCATCTACCCGAGCTTTTTAAGGTTAGTTACAACTTTAGTACTTATAGATTTTATTAACTGTTCGCTATTAATAATAGTAGCAAACGGTCACTAAATCTTGAAGTCAAAAAAAAACTTACTTGGAGCATACCTGCTACAGCCTTTAGAAAAAACCTTTTAAAAATGGAAAGTTTAAAAAATTAATGTTTCCACAGTACTTTAAAAAAATAAAATGTTGTTTTTATAAAAGCATATTTGAACAATTTGATATTGAACAACATCCAAATCATTTTCTCAAGATCATGATGTCACTATCTAAACTGATAGTGACAGACAGCAACATTTTTAGATTAAATATTGTTAGACAGTTTTTGTTTTGTTATTCAGCATTTCTTTCAAATTTGGTTGTATAACAAAATTTTAAATATTTTGTTTTAAAAATATATTTTTAAATATCAAAAAATTAATTATTCAGAAAATATTACAAGAGTCATAATTAAATCAACAAACTGCAAACAAAATAATCCACTTTGTTGATGTTCACATAAACAAAGTGTATTATTTTCAAAACATAACACCATTTAAATCAACAAAGCAAAACAAATATTAGGTCTAATAAAGTGAACCTTTTCATCTTATCCAGATGAATTTTCATTTAATTAAAATTATTTTCTGCCTGAGTTTGCAGTTAATCAGAACTAAAGACTAATTATTTAAAGATAATTTGAGTTGTAAAGTAGAGGACTTCGTAAGTCAATTTAGGAATATCAACAATATTGTGACAGCTATTAGTAGCAAACAACTGAGTTTTTTTAGTTTAAAATTTTCCATCAATTGTGAGCCTTAATCTGTCACAAAAGAGAGATTCATACTCAAAGACTTTGAGTATGAATCTCTCTTTTGTGACAGCTATGGACACAAAACTTTGACAAAGTTGTGTGCCTGTTCTAATTGATCTTAAAATGACGACTTTTATCTATAAAAAACCATATGAAGAGAGCTTATAGAAAATATTAGCATAGTAACATATAAAGCTAATAGAAAATACCAGCAAGACTCAAAACTATTATCTTAAGTCTTTGATATCAAGAGAAATAGACCTTGGCTCACTGCTTCCATTATTCTTAACAATCAGCAGCAGAATGAGATCAAATTGTCAGAGAGTGTTGAGCTTAAGTTGAGATAATAGAAGCTTGTTTATTAAAGAATTAAAGACCTTTGAGGATTAGACAACAAATTATTGTCCAATCGGTATGAACAATATCCAGATAATATCCAATATCCAAAGGGTATGAACAATATCCAGAAAATTTTGGAAACGCAGATTTGATTATCCAGCAAATGAGTATAAGTTTTAGTTAAGGACTTTCTAAATTGTTTAGAGAACACTTATTAGAAGCTTTTTGTTAGACTGTCTTATTTTTGTGAGTGTTAATACGGTTTCACCCATACATGAGACAGAATGTTAGACTTGCTATTGTTAATATCATTATTTCTAAAACTTAACTTCCAATGTAAAATACAATATTTGGTAGTCAGACCTTAACATTAGAACCTTATCTTTTTTGCATTGATTTCTCAAAATTATTAAAATATGTTTGTTCTTAAGATAGTTGTTCTTGTCAAAAGATAAAAGAAATAGTTTTGACTAGTCATAATAGCTGCACAAGAAGGAGAAAGCCATTAAGGAGAATGGGGTCGAGTGAAATTTGATGTGAAACTAAAAGGAGTAAAACCTTTCATGTCTTCTTGAAACCAGGAAATTGTATATGGTATTACATCTTGCGGTGTGGGTGTTAACTTGTTCTAAGTCTTGTAGTTTTTATAAAAGCAAGATATTGGGTGAAGATTGATATAGGACAAGGACAATAAGTGGTGTTACAACTTACTAAACCACTTCATGGTAGTGAAAGAAATATCACAACTTTGCATTAAGATAAATTCAATTTAATCACTTTATATTCTGATATTCCATATGAAATCACCTAGTTTTTCAAAAGTGCCCCAGGGTACCACCTCAAATTTACTTCAAATTTTGAACACCCACAGTTTTTGTAAAAAAAAAAACACAATCCTGAAAAAAAAACCAAGATACATGTATATTGCCATACAGCACTTTGAATAATGTGCATACTGACAGTACTTGCACAAATAGAGTGAAATCTACCATTAAACCTATTGTAAGTTTTAGAAATCGGACATCAAGTGCAGAAGCTATGACACTTGCATTTATTTGTGAACACAATCTTCCAATATCTTCAACATCCCATATGATTGAATATGCAAAGTAAATGTCTAAAGATCATCATGTTATAAATAGTATAGTATTAGTATTTTATTGAGAGATTATGCAACTTCAGATAGATATAATGCTTCCACCCATATTTGCTGATGGAAAGCCCTTACATCTTGACTATTGTTGGGCAGATATTTTTAAGTGTAAAAAATATTTAGAGCTTAGTAAAATTATAAAGGCATGTCTAAGTATATTCAGTAGTCCTCACATTGAGCAATCATTCAGCATGATGAACACCATAGTTAACAAAATAAAAGCTGATGAATGTTTTGTAGCAGAAAATTATAAGAATACAAAATATTAGTTTCTGAACCATTGTTTGACATTTTATATATAGAAAGTAAATAAATTATTACGCTTTGCATATTGTTTATGGTAAAACTGAGATTATATTTGATTTTAGAGAATTTTAAAGAAACATAGTTATTCATTACTTGATTTATCCTTTTACCAACAATCCAGAGTATACCCAAATACCTTTATCAATTAGTTGATGTATAATTTTCCAGGATTTTCTGGAATTTTTAATAAAATATTTTTCCGGGATTTTTATAGAAAAAAATTTCCAGGATTTTCATTAAGTCAAATACTCATTTATACAATATAAACCTAAAATCGGAAAAATTTGAGTATCTGGAGCTTACAGTAGATTTTTTTGATTTTTAACAGATCATAACTTTTTAAATAAAATAGATGATCACCTGAAAATTTTTAAAGTTAATAGTTTTTCACCCAAATTATCTATTTTTGTAGGTGTTTTTGACTGATTTTAAACAATTTTTGAGTTCTTGTACCTCAAAGTTGTAAACTTTAATGTGCTACAGTTCAATACCAGCAGCATTTTGACATACATACATTAAGTTTAACAGACATTTGTAATTTTTTTAATGTAACACAGCACCATCATCATTTTTAAAAGGTTGTTATTATGTTATCTTCTCCCCACATCTCTACATAAAGAGGTGCAAGCTCTTTTTCTGCAGGGCTGTTGAGCTGTCAGACCTATAACCATTGAAGATAACTGAAAGAGTTACATAACAACTACTAAAGAATCAAAAAAACAAAATGCATGAGTAGAGTCAAGAGTATCCAACATATATCATCCTAGTCAGGAAATAATTTAACATGGTTTACATGCTAGTCTATTAAGTTAAGAAAGGGTGTAATTCTAGTCAACAGAAATTTTCTGTTTATTTTTAAATTTTTTGCAGCTGGAAGCAGTTTACATCTGCCTGAAATAAGTATTACTATTGAGACCTTTTTTGTAGGCTTTACTAACCCAAGAGCCCTCAGGTTTTAATAGCTTAAAGCTCCACCCTACATGAATCTACCCTGCAGGAATCTTGCATGGGTCTTTTATGTTTTTGTTTTCTCAGGCCATTTTGCAAAGAAAAACCTTGAATCCAAATTTTTAAATTAAATTGCTTGCGATGGTTGTAAGCTTACTTAAAGGAAAACTAAATTTTGCAAAGTTTAATAATTATCCGTTTTACTGTAGATGTTTAAGACAATTATTATTAGCCTGTTGAAAATTAGCTTGTTTTTAGCTGATTAAGCTATAAAGCATAAAATTAGTTACTCTTGTTTGCCTGTTCTTGATTTTCAGTTATTACCCATTATTACAATTAGCCTGTTTTGTAGCTGATTAAGCTGTTTTGTAGCTAATTATTTTCTTTGAAAATACATTTCAAGATACATTTACTTTTTCAACTTTGGTTTTCAATGCAGGAAAATTGTAGTTTAAACCACAGTAATATTAATCAATTGTGATGTTGTCTAATTTTAGCTTCTGACTACTTTTTGTTGAGTTTTTTTATTAACTAAAGTTAGATTTTTAGTAAATATATTAGAAACTATATAAGACCTATGATCTCTTGTATAATTCTTGATATTTTATGTAGTTCTTGGTTTGGTTTCTCTTACCGAAATTAATGAATGTAAAAATAAAATAAATGTATTGGATTGATTTTTTTTTTCTATTATAAGTTTTAAGCTCTTAAAGAGAATTTTATTGACATTTGATAAACTCCTTATTGAAAGAATGGTGTCCATCTTACTACAGTCAAGGCGCTCACTCTTTTTTTTTAGATAATTTTTCTTTTTTATTTTAAGTTGTTAGAACAGCCTTTTCTCAACCTTTTTATTATAAGAATAATATTTTTGTTACCTTTCTTTAGCTTATTTATGAGTCTACTGTGGAATACTTAGTTAAAGAAAAACATTATGGGATTTTCTTGCATAAAGACAATTTTGAAAAGTATGAAGATTTTAGGTAAAATTAATTTTAATATTTTAATTTTTTTATATTTCTCATATTGAATTACATTAAAGATTTGGTAATTGAATTAAAACTTTTTTGGTAAAGAGATTAAATAAAATTCATTTCAGCTCAGCTGAAATTGATATCCAATTTTTTTTTTAAGTTGTAAATATAACTATATTTACAACTTTTTTTTAAGTTGTTATATATAATTATATTTACAATTTTAAAAAAGAATTGTACATGATGTTAGAAGGCGCAATAGTGCTAATAGTCAAACTGACAAAGACTTGGAGAGTTCACTCAACATAAACTCTTCCTCAACTTTTTTGTCATCTGAGACATGAAAACTAACCTTTTACATAGAAATTTGCTTATAAACTGCTTGCGGGTTTGTTTTTTTATTAAAAAGTAATCACCAATCATTAATGTTTATGTTTTTAAAATCGGCTAATATTGCGCTTGTGGGTTTGTATCTTTGTGGGTTTGTATCTTTTTTTTAAATCTTTTTTTAAAACTTAGTTTTTGAAAAAAAAAAATTTTAATAATATTGAAATTGCTAAATATCGTGACTCTCTGTAAGGATTAAAAAGTAGAAAATAAAATAAAGCAAAACAATAAAATTTAATATTTTATAATCTTTTCTTTCACTTATATGACATTTTTCTCAACTTTTTTTGTTGTTCTTTGAACAAAAAAAAACTAACATTTTATATAGAAATTTGCAACTAAATTGCTTGCGGGTTGGTTTTTAATTGTAATGTTAATTAATGAACATGTTTAAAATAGGCTAATATTGCTTGTGGGTTTGTAATTTTTTTAAATATACTTTGTTCTCTTTTTAAAATAAGTTTTTTTATTTTTAAAATCAGCTAAGATTGCTTGTGGGTTTGTATTTCTTTTTAAATCTTTTTTTTTTTAATACTTTTTTTTTTAATTTTTTTTTTTAATAAAATTGAAAAAATAACTTACAAAGTTATGTTAACTTTGTTTAATATTAATATAATATTAATATAATAAAGATATACAACATATTTTTTTTATTTTTTATTTTTTATTAATTCACCTCCTCAAGGCCGATAAGGCCACTACAGGCGAGGAGGCTACTTAATTGTGGTTATAACCCTCTCTCATCAACTCTATAACTCCCAAACACAAACCTTGACGAACAAGGCCGCTGCGCGGAGAAACGAGTTGAGCGCAGTACTACCAGGGGCGTGGTGGGGATCGAACTCGGAACCTCTCACTTATGAAGCGAGCACTCTACCACTACACCGCTACTGCAGAAATAATGTGGGAAAATGCAGGTTGCAATGCAAATGAAATATTTGTACTTTATGTTTTTTTACTTTTGTATAAAAAAATTTTATCTTTTAAAAAAAAAATATTCAGCTCCTTTAATCAGCAAATACTCTGTTTTATTAGGATAAAAAGCTTGACTTTATTTCAAATGTCTAGACAAACGCATTGCTAAATATCGTAACTCTCTGTAAAGACTAAAAAGTGGAAAATAAAATATACCAAAAACATTTGCTAAAAATATAATCTTTTTGTACTAAAAAGTAGACAACAAAATTTTTAATTTAAATTTAATAGTTCTGTAAACTAAAGATTGACAGGTCTGCGCAAAGTTTATTTAGAAACATACCTGTCAATCTTTAGTTTACAAAACTATTAAATTTAAATTAAATATTTTATTTTCTACTTTTTAGTACAAAAAGATTATATTTTTAGCAAATATTTTTGCTATATTTTATTTAATTCTTTGTTATGTTAAAAAACTCTGTAAAAGTTCAGGATTTAATATAAGTTTAAAAACCTTTAAAAAACCAATAAAAAATGAGACCTGTAAATGACGAATGCTCTCAAACAAACATTTTAAACATGAATTAATCAATTGTTTATTTGAACTGCTTAAAATTTATTGAAGTCATATGCTCTACTTTGAAATTCTTTACCTAGAAATTAACTAATTACCCAAAAAGTGGCTCAAAACAATTGATTACTATATGCACAAAAAAATGATTTGTTGTTATATAGAAAAAAGAAATGATTAGTTTTTATACACAACTAGAACTTGCTATTAATTCTTTTCTAAAGAGTCTGGCCCAGCAGAAAGTTGTAGTGTTTATCTTTAAGTTTTATATTGCAAGTATTATGCACCCTGTGTTAACACTTGCAATTTGAGCCTGAACAAAAAGTTTATAATGTTTGCGAAGTTTTTACTTTCAACAATTTAATTTTTTTATCTTAATAACCAATATTTGAACTTTACTTTATTCTAAGGTTAAGGTTACTTAATTTTATTGTATAACTTCAAGCTTTACTTTATTGTAAGGTTACTTCAAGCTTTACTTTATTGTAAGGTTAAGATTACTTAAGCTTTACTTAGTTAAGCTTCACTTTATTAATTATTATTGAAATCCTAAGTTTACTTTATTGCAAGAAAGTTCTTTTTTTTTATATTGTGTTTTTGAGTTTTCTTGAGTTTTTAAATTCTTTTTTTCTTATATTAATGCAGTTTTGTTATTTTGTAATTTTAGTCTGCGTGGTTTAGTTTTTGACTGTAACAAAGGAAATTTTTTGAAACTTGACAAAGATGGTTACATTCTTAGGTATTTAAAATTTATTAAATAGTTGTTAATAATGTATGCCTAGATACTAATAAATAGCTCTGTAATTTATTACTGTGTTTTTACTTTAAAGTACATTTTATACAACTCTGAAATAAAATATTTAAGAGTTATCTATCATAATTTTGATGTGACTTACATGCAAGGATATAGGATAGGGATGCAAGTGACTTAATGCAACGATATAGGAAACATGCAAGGAGTGCGGCTACATTGACTAAGGGTTTGGACCAATCTTTTTTTTTTTATTATTCTTTGTTTTTTTCTTCTGTTTCTTTCTGTATCTGTGTGTGCATATATATATATATATATGTATCTATCTATATATATATATATATATATATATATATATATATATATATATATATATATATATATATATATATATACATATATATATATATATATATATATATATATATATATATATATATATATATATATATATATATATATATATATATATATGTATATGTATATATATATGCATATACTAGTGATGTGCCTGGTACCTGGTTTGGACCTGGATACCCAGTAATTCAACTGTTTTTCCTGATACCCGGAATAGGCCATTTTGTTGCAACATATACATCTGGTATCTTCAAAGAAGTTTTTAATAAAAATTAATCTTAAGTGATGTAACTGTTTATTTAAGTTTTAAATTTAAATTAAACTGCATCTCACTTAAAATATTTTTAAAAATATTTTTTTTATTTCAAAATAATCAGAATATATTGCAAAAAAGAAACAGAACTTTTTCAACTACCTTTTTGCAATATACAGTTGTTTGAATACCTTCTTTTCATTGTGTAAGAAAATTTTTAGTAATTAAACTTTGAATACTTAATGTTTGTTTATTCTAATCTGAAGTTAAAAAATTAAAATGAGACACCACAAACATATGCTGTCTAATTTCTTTTTTATTTGTTTTAAATTTTTTTTTTTATTGACACTGCAGTTGTGTACTCATTTTTTTTTTTTTTTTGAAATTCTCTACTTAATCTTTTATTTTCCATAACATAACTTTTGATTAATTAGCACATATTAGTGATTATTTAGCAATAAATTACAAAAAAGTATATACTATATTTAATACCACAATTATAAAACAAAAATTAGTTAGCCGCAATTGTATTTTTTGAAGTTGATAGAGTTAATTTTATTTTTAAAGTTCTTGATGTTTTTGGCATTAATGGCATCAGTCAGCAAGTTATTCCCTTAGGGAGAACAAATATTTTTTATCCATTTATTTAACCATAAAATTAATAATTACAAACTTAATTTATAAAATTAGTTTCAGTGTCACTCATATAGTTAAAAACTAGTCAATGGAGTGACACCTTTATAAAATAAACAAATAAATTAAAAAAATTTCAAGACAAGGAATAATAATAAATATAGTAAACTACAATAATACAAGTAATAATAAAAAGAATAAATAGAAACAATAGTATTTGAAAAAATCAGAACAAAAGTAATAAAGGAGGAAGACTAACAAAAACAAAAAAAGAGAGAGAATGAATGTAAGATAAGATGAGTGAGAAAAAAATGTACAAGAAAACCTAAGTTTAATGACATAAGTTCAGAAGGATAGAGTGAGAGAAAAAAATTTCTGTAGAGAAATATGAAACGGCAAAATATAGGCAAACTTGAATAAAAAAAAACAAACACAACAGACATCGAATTTACACTTTAGTTTGCATAATTTGAATTCGTGACCTATAGTGTAAACATAGTTGATTATTAAAAAGCGTAATTTAAATTCGTGACCTATAGTGTAAACATAGTTGATTATTAAAAAGCATAATTTGAATTCGTGACCTATAGTGTAAACATAGTTGATTATTAAAAAGAAACTTGATATATTTAAGCAAACTTAATTAGCACAAATTAATCATTTTGTGAAAACAATTCAGTGCAAGAGATTTCACATGCTTTTTTAAATAGACTTGGACCTGGTATTTTCACCCGGGTACCTGGAATCAGGGACTCAGCATTATCTGGTTCTGGCACATCTCTAGCATATAAATAAATATATTTTTTTTCCAACAAAACTTTTTATAAAAAATCATTCTGTAAATGTAAAAGTTTAAAATTATGATTGAATATTATTTTTACTTTTATTTAAAAGTATTATTTTAGTTAAATTATAATACTTATATAAGTAAATTCCATAAAATCAATACATCAACAGTAAAACCATAAAACAAATATTGATTGTGGATTAATTTAGTTTCTTTCCAGTTTTTCAGAATTTTATGACAATCCTAATACCATAAAATTGAAAATCAAGAAAAACATGTTAGTGATAAAATAATGCATCCAATTTGTTTCTCTTTGATAAACTTTTTTGCTTAATGAGTATTTATAAAAATGTAACTTTCATAATGGAAGATAATTCTAAAAGTATTCAAAATAGCTTTAAAAAATAGTTGAAAAGTTTTACATTAACATGGTAGTTAATTCTATCCGCGTCTTTTACCATATGTTGTCATGTATTATCTTTCAATGCTGATCTCTCAAAGGAACACTCCAATTCATTCCAAAGTTAACATCTGTTAAAGCTTCTATTTATCATGCTTGTTATTCTTTTACTACTGATTTTTATTTTTACTTCTACATCTGGTATCCATCTTTGTATTATCTATCTTCTGTTTTATATACTTAATTAACTGTTTGTGTTTAAAACAGAAAAAAAAATGTTGATTTCACCATTTGACATATAAGCAGCCAGAGGAATTTCAAGATTTAAAAAAAGTTTAATTCACCTCCAACCCAAGCTCCTTAATGTGTAACTTCCTCTACTAGAATAGAGGAGGTTGCCCATTATGGATACATATTTTTTTACACATTTTATTTGAAACTTTCTCATATCTAAACTCTTAAAGATGAACCAAGTTAAATGAAACATAGAAGAGTTTTTTCCAGGAATTCCCGGATTTCCGGAAATTCACTTTATTTTTCCAGAAATTTCCGGATGTTTTATTTTATTAATTTGTTAAAAAAAAATTACATATTTTTACATAAAATTAAAAAAAAAACTTTTGCATTTAAACAAATATATTTTCTATAGTTAAAAATTTCACTAAATCAATTTTCGTAACAATTTTTTTTCAAATATATACAATATATATATATATATATATATATTTTGCTTTTTAATTTATTCAAATTAACTTTATCAAATATTAGAAATTCCTTTTTGTAAAAATAGTTAAATTATCTAAATTCCATTTTAAAAGTTTATGAAAGTTTTTGTTTTAAGTTAATAGGAACAACTTTTAATAAAATAATTTTCCGGAATTTTCCGGGATTTTCATTAAAAAAAATTTCCGGGATTTTCATAAAGTCAAATACTCATCTATGATGAAATAAAATAAAATAAAATGAGTAAATTGTTATTAAATTATTGCACAAGCTAAGCGTGGAACTTCAAACCTATCAAAACCATGTTTTCTTTGTTTTGTACAATGTCAGTTACAACCTTTTTGCTCTCAGTCTACAATTTGTCTTTTAAATTGTATAAATTTGTGTGACATTTATTTTTTAAAAACATCATTTTTGTTAATTTTTTGTATATCTTTATTTATTAACAAGTCCTAAAACTCATTTATCATGCAAAATGCATTTATCACTGAATTCATCAGTTTCTTTATTTGATTCATCTGAGATAAATTATTGTCCCTAAAATGGTTCTAATATAATTACTTTTGCTTTTTCAACAGTTAATATAATTTTTATATACTTTTCAATATTTCAATATAAAGTTGAATATAAAAAATGGCAGCAAAACTAAAAGTTTCTAATATGTAAAAATTCAAAATAAACAATTCAAAATGCTAAACTTGGATTAATATATAACCTTTGCCTACAAATAAAAGAACAAATTTGAAGAAAAGATTATATCACATAAAACTTTAAAAGTTTTGTGTGGGTGTATGTATGTATGTATGTATGTATGTATGTATGTATGTATGTATGTATGTATGTATGTATGTATGTATATATATATATATATATATATATATATATATATATATATATATATATTGTGTATAAATTATTTGAATAAAATAATCCACAACAATAAATTAAATATATTAAAAAATTAAAATATTAAAGTTTTTATTGAGAACATGTGACTTTGTGAACATGTCACTTTAAACATAAATATTTTAAAAGATTATTTGATCAAAAAATATTTTTTTTATAACACTTATGCCTGAACTTGATTTAAAGTTTCAAAAAGTTGATTCCGTGACGTGCTGGCTCTAGAGACTATGTGGTAATTCTGCACAAACCTATTGCTACTATTTCTTCACTTTATTTGTTAAATTCTTTAACAAATCTTTGATTCAAAGTTTTAAACTTCTAGCGCTAATATATTATTAGTATTTTACATAATAAAAATGCAACCATTTGTAACATTAGTCACAAAACAAAGTGGATACTAAAAATATAATTGATTGTTGTGTGACTTTAATCACTTATCATATCAGTAAATACATACAGGTAAAAAATAAGAAATACTTTTAGTTAGTATAGATATATTAATAGATATTAAAAATGCTAGTGGGGCAACATTAAAAATTATAGCTTTTACTAAAGATTACAATTATCTAGACGCAAAATCTAGATGTGATGGTATTTGATGTATAAAATATATCCCGTTAATTATATGACTGTGAGGATCACTTAAGTTATTAGATAATACCATGTTGAATATGAATGCCTTTGTTCATTTTTATATATTTTTTATATTTAGTATAAATAATTATCTACAGTTACTATAGATAATTATTATTATGAGAAATAATTGTATTCAATTTTAAATTAATTGGGAAAAATTGATAAAATTTTAATTAAATTTTTATGATTAATTATTTTTTCATAAACAAAAATGAAAAAAGAAGTTATGTTTTGTATTTTTGTAATATTTTAAAATATAAATAAGTTTAGTGTGTGTGTTTTTATGTAATTGT